ACCCTAAACTTTGGGATTTATGGCTTGGTTTCGGGTTTGGGACTCAGGGCTTGGCGGGCCTTACACTTACACCTTGCGGCACTCTCGGTGCTCAGCGTCGTCGCCGCGTAAGGCATTGCGCACGACACACTAAACCCTAAATTGGCCCTACCCATAGGCCCCATAGTAGTTCCTTTTTGGGGTCACCCTATAGGATTCTATATATGAACCCCAAAAAGGAACTACTTTAGGGCCTATGGGTAATGCTACACCCCACCCACCACAGATACTTTGAGCTCTGCGGGGTTTCGAGTCCGGCGTTCGCCACGACACAAAGCCCAACGCAGAGGCTCACATCGTCAACAAGAGAACGGAAAGCCTTAGCCTTGAGACCCAAACCCTAAATCAACCCTAAACCCTAAATCCATATTCCAGGACTCTTCTGAAGCCCATTGGCTTGGATGATGAAGCCGAAAAGCTTGGCAAATGCGCCAGAGCCTCAGAGCGGGGTGGGGGACCCTACACCCTTAAACCCCAAACCCTAACTACCCGCTAAACCCCAAAACCCTTAAAGCCCAAGCCTAAGCCCTAAACCCAAATCCTTAAAGCCTATACCCTGAGCCCCCAAACCCGGAAGCCCCGCCTGACCTAGTCCAGCGCGAGTGCCGAAAGACCCTGGCGCCATGTAGAGTCTCTCAAGGGATCGTAGAGTAGAAGTGGATGCTCCGATGTACGATGAGGCTCTACCTTGAAAGGTCCAGATGCTCTGAATGCTGAATCCCACAGTGCAGGCTCTGATGGTTCAGAGTTGAGAGTTGAAGCTGCAGGGTTGAGGACCTGCATCACCAGCTAATCGGTATACAGGCGCAAGAACTGAGTTCAATGCGCTTGCGATGGTGTTGCTGCACGCTCAGCCCGTGCCGAGCCCCGAGAAGATGTGACAGCCAAGCCATCTTGGTGCCGAAGCAGGGTATAGGAGCGGCGGGCGCTCGCCGAACACGAATGTCTGCAAGCACCACCTGCGTGTACACTTCGCTTACTTGCTTGCTTGCCTTGCTTCGTCGAAGATTCAGCCCCGCGTTGGTGGAGTTAGACGGACTTAATAGCGTTGACTGGGTATTCCGCCGAACTACTACTAGATTGATGGAGACTTCGTGACAGCCGGCTTGCCGGCGAAATGTGGACATTTATGGTGGCGGGCATGGAAGCAGCTTTCTCAAGTTTAGCCAAGTGAAAGACGTTCGCACTATTCACTATTCGTTCTGCTTATCTGAACCTTTCGTTACGTTGTCGCAGTGGTTTTCGTAAACCTTAACCCAAACCGTCAGCCCTGAAACCAAAACCCTGAACCCTGAAACCCCAAACAAAGAAAGCCCCGAACCAAATACTGTAAAGGCCTTGTAGATTCATTGTCTGTAGAATCCTTATGCAGCCTTCTGGAACCTTGCAGATGCCCTACAGTGACTACAGTGCTGCAGCGCCAAACCCCGCCAAGGTAAGGCCCACTCCTATACTACTAATTGTCGCGAGCCTTGTTTCGGCACTATGTAAGAGAATCCACTGTGTAAAAAATTACCCCTTCCAGAAATCAGCATTTGAAAACCATCACTTTACGAGTTTTTCGGTTTTTTTGTTTGATTTTGCGCACATGCTCTTTTTTGAAGCCGTTTTTTTGTATAACCGGGGGCCCCGCAGCATAACCGGAGGGGGAGGGGGGGGGGGGTATGTGTTTGTGCATTGAAATCCAGCAGCAGCCTGAGATTTAGGGTTTTGGGGT